AGAAAGAAAGAAAGAAAGAAAGAAAGAAAGAAAGAAAGAAAGAAAGAAAGAAAGAAAGAAAGAAAGAAAGAAAGAAAGAAAGAAAGAAAGAAAGAAAGAAAGAAAGAAAGAAAGAAAGAAAGAAAGAAAGAAAGAAAGAAAGAAAGAAAGAAAGAAAGAAAGAAAGAAAGAAAGAAAGAAAGAAAGAAAGAAAGAAAGAAAGAAAGAAAGAAAGAAAGAAAGAAAGAAAGAAAGAAAGAAAGAAAGAAAGAAAGAAAGAAAGAAAGAAAGAAAGAAAGAAAGAAAGAAAGAAAGAAAGAAAGAAAGAAAGAAAGAAAGAAAGAAAGAAAGAAAGAAAGAAAGAAAGAAAGAAAGAAAGAAAGAAAGAAAGAAAGAAAGAAAGAAAGAAAGAAAGAAAGAAAGAAAGAAAGAAAGAAAGAAAGAAAGAAAGAAAGAAAGAAAGAAAGAAAGAAAGAAAGAAAGAAAGAAAGAAAGAAAGAAAGAAAGAAAGAAAGAAAGAAAGAAAGAAAGAAAGAAAGAAAGAAAGAAAGAAAGAAAGAAAGAAAGAAAGAAAGAAAGAAAGAAAGAAAGAAAGAAAGAAAGAAAGAAAGAAAGAAAGAAAGAAAGAAAGAAAGAAAGAAAGAAAGAAAGAAAGAAAGAAAGAAAGAAAGAAAGAAAGAAAGAAAGAAAGAAAGAAAGAAAGAAAGAAAGAAAGAAAGAAAGAAAGAAAGAAAGAAAGAAAGAAAGAAAGAAAGAAAGAAAGAAAGAAAGAAAGAAAGAAAGAAAGAAAGAAAGAAAGAAAGAAAGAAAGAAAGAAAGAAAGAAAGAAAGAAAGAAAGAAAGAAAGAAAGAAAGAAAGAAAGAAAGAAAGAAAGAAAGAAAGAAAAAAAAGAAGAAAGAAAGAAAGAAAGAAAGAAAGAAAGAAAGAAAGAAAGAAAGAAAGAAAGAAAAAGAAAACAATGATCGCCCTAAAGGCGTTAGAGGTTAACACAGAAATTTCGAGGGGGAATATCCCCGGACCCCTTATGATATTGTTACCCCGATCGGCCCCACTTTTGGTCCCTCTTCCGGCCCCCTCCTTTTAGACATTTCTGGATCCACCCCTGTTTTTGTTCCGTCAATGCTGTTTATCTCATGACGGCACCAACCCCCTGTCTCTTATACACATCTAGATGTGTATAAGAGACAGACACTATAATGGGGGGGGGGGCACCCCGACGACAGCAAAGTGGGCATGGTCGGGCGTATTAAATTGTTTCGAAAGTGGTCAAAAATATGACAATGTATGGGCTTCAGAGGCTCATTTATAGATTTTATAGATAGTGAGTCTACTAATATGTAGAAAATACATGTATTACTCGTTTTTATCCTCGACGATTTTTTGGGAGGGGGCGGCAATCGGTGGGAGAGAAAGAATTTTTTTCTGGGAGTAAAATTCCCTCCTTGCTCCCGTAGCGCCGCTACTGCTGTATAGCTCTACAGATAAAATGTTATTATCTTAAAAGTAGGCCTAACAAAAAAAAAATGGTTCGGCTATAGCCAGTACGGCCAGTGCCGTTACGACGACCCAACGTTTGAACTATTTGATACTTGCAAAGTCACTTCTAAGTACTATGGGATTCTCAAATGTAGGTGAGAGTTGATTTTACAAGCGTATACAATAGGCCGAAATTTGACTGAACCAGTTCAGTTGGAAACAAACAGCACTGTACGTTGAGACATACTGTTACGGTACGCTTGCTATAAACCGATCTTTGGACTTAGGCCTACCTGTTCTTTCAGATATGGATTCTCTCTTATGGGAATATGAAGGGGTTCCGCTGATGAAGAATGCGAATCCGGAAGAAGTGCTAAAAAATATAAAGGACTTCGAAGTCCGCGAAGACGACATTTGGCTGTGCACATACCCCAAATCAGGTAAAACCATATTGATTAATATACGTATATACACAAACCAACCTATCCCCACGTGGCACGTAATCAATATTATGTAGCACTGGGTTACATGTGCGAATCTATCTGCCTGTCTGTCTATCTGTAGGTCTGTCGGTCTGGCTGTATGCCTGTCTGTCTGTCTGTCTATTCTATCTATCTATCTATCTATCTATCAATCTATCTATCTATCTATCTATCTATCTATCTATCTATCTATCTATCTATCTATCTATCTATCTATCTATCTATCTATCTATCTATCTATCTATCTATCTATCTATCTATATGTATGCCTGTCTGTCCATCCATCCATCCATCCATCCATTCGTCCGTCCGTCCGTCCATCCGTCCGTCCATCCATCCGTCTACCCACCTATGTTTACGTTTTTTTTTTTAGTCATTCAATCCTTTATTCAGAAAATTTCATAACAAATTACAGATTACATATAAGCATCAAAAGAAGCGGTGGCTTGTCAGTTTGAAAACCAAACATACAAAACATACACACACAGAATACAAAAAAAACACATCAACTTTTTAAGTTTCATATTTGGGATCGCCCACAAAAATCGCCAGCACCTCCCAGAAATGGAAATGCCTCAGTGATTATCACGTCATAGTGATAATACCATGCGCCTCAGACACCAAGACATCTTCGACAGTGTACTTGCCCGGAAAGTGCCAGCGATCATGGACGACTCTCAAGAAAATAAAAAAAAAAAAAAAAAGAATGTGCCCCTTATACCGTAATTATGAATTTTTTTTATCAAAAGGCATGTGCCCCTTATACCGTAATGATGAATCTTTTGTATCAAAATATCATGTTTCATTACATCAAAAGCTTTTGACAGGTCCATAAAAACACTGTCAAGAAATATATTTGATTCAAAAAAAGTTAGGATAGCTTTAACTAGTTCAAGGATGGCATGCGAGGTGGAGTGTTTAGCACGGAATCCGTATTGATGGGGGTTTAATTTTTTATATTTAGTTAGGTAGTCATAAAGTCTATCGTGCATTGCCTTCTCGAAAATTTTAGAAAAAACAGGGAGCAAAGATATTGGCCGGTAATTAGTAAATTTTAGAAAAAACAAGGAGCAAAGATATTGGCCGGTAATTAGTAATTTCATCATGTTTTCCTTTTTTGTAAACGGGGATAACCTTAGCAATTTTTAGTTTATCAGGAACAATGCCAGTTTCAAAAGAACAGTTTATAATGTGGACTAGGGGGCTTACGATAATATTTGAAATCCTTTTTATTATTTTTGGAGATATATTATCATATCCGGAACTCTTATAGTTGTCTAGATTTCTGATTATATCAGATATTTCTTTAATTGTAACAGGTTTAATGTAAAATGAGTTAGCTTGCCTGTTTTTTTAAATAACGTAATGGATTGACATTAGAGTTTATATCTTTGCATAATCATTGTCCTATGTTAATGAAATAATTATTAAACTGTTCTGGTATTATAGTAGGATCTGTAAATGTATCATCATGCTTAATGGTATCGGGAAATTTTAGTTTAGACTAATTTGGATTTATAACAGAGTTTATTGTGTCCCAGGTTTTTTTCATGTCCCCCTGGCATTTTGATAATCCGGATACATAAAAGTCCCTTCTTGCCCTTTACATAATTTATTATACACGTTACGGTGTTTATCATGGTTTTTTTTTTGTCCATGAGGTTTTGCGACTTTAAATATTTTTTATAAAGTTTAAGTTTCCTTTGCTAGATTTTAATAATCCATTTGTCATCCACTGTTGTTTAAATTTACTTGAATTTGTTAGATCTATTTGTTTGATCTTTTTTAGAACTTGTTTATCATGGATCATTTTTATATCACCATGGAACATGTCGTAGGCAATATTTGGGTTTTTTGAAGGATTACATTTGTTCAGTCCATTTTATATAAATCATGAATAATAGTTTGAATTGACTCATCATTAACGGTATATTTATACATAAGAGGATTTTCTTTGTTAAGTTTATGTGTATTTTGTACAGACGTTTCAACGTAAAATACAGGTAGATGATCAGTTAAATCTGATATAAGGATATCCGTTGTGACCTCTCTGTTTATTTGGTTTGTAAAAAATGTTGTCAATTAGGGTTGCTGATGTATTTGTTATCCGAGTTGATTTTGATATAAGGGGGAAGAGTGAATTTGCCATCATATTTTCGATAAAAGTTTTAACTAGATTATTTTCACTATAATTAATAAGGTCAATATTAACATCTCCAAAAATGGCAAATTTTATTTTCTGAATTTATCTTAAAAAGTAGTTCCATCATAATGGCTTGGAAATTTTCAATAGAGAGGTCAGGTGGTCTATATACAATTCCAATAATTATATATTTTTAAAAATTTTTACTAATTATTTCGATAAAAAGGTATTCACTGTTTACTTCACAGTTGTCTATTTTGATGTCTTTTCGTTCAATAGCATTATACCCCTCACAAATGTAAATACCAACTCCGCCTCCCATTTTATTTTTTCTATTAACGTGAAAAAAGTATAACCAGGAAGGGTTGCGACAGTGAGACATTTGGTTTAGCCATGTTTCGGTGACCCCGGTAATTATAAACTTATGATCCATTAAATTAAGAAGCGTTTTAAGTCCTTCCAAATGTTTACTTATGCTTCTGGTATTGAAGTAAATCATTGAAATTTCTGTTTTGTCAATGTCTTTAAAATAATTATGCAAGTCATCTATATCAAATTATTTACATTTGTTGAGGGAATCCATTCTATCAGATAAACTATTTTGTATGTATGGAAGCTGCAAATCAATTTTAATATTTTCGTTATCATAATAATAATTATCACTGGAAGTTAGGGGATCGAATTTTAAGCCTTTCATTATATTATTTAACATCTGCTTTAGGCCTATAACAATATGATTTCCAGTGTAGGCTGTCTGGAGAAATTCAATAATATTAAGATCGTGAAATGCATCCATATACATATATATACATATATATATATATATATACATATACATATATATATATATATACATACACATATATATACATACATATATACATATATATATATATATATATATACATACTTATATACATATATATATACATACATATAAACATACATATATATATACGTACATATATACATACATATATATATACATATATACATACATACATATATACATATATATACATATATATACATATATATATATATATATATGATATTGAAGGGAGTTAGCCGTTAACACTGTTGAATAAATATAATATAAATAATCAAAGGTACATATACAGTGTTTAAATAAGGACATGATGGAACATCGTAGGCTAACATGTAGCTTTTCAACGAATAAAGTCCTATAAAAGTCATTGTGTAATAAAATACCTTCAACGGGATTCGAGCCTGCGACCTCTCGCTGACAAGGCGAGCGTCATAACCACTAGACCACGAAGGCTTCATGGTTCAACAGGTCCAAATAACCGTCGGGGACATTGTACTACACAATGCTACGCTTCAAGAGAGCGTTCAGCCAGATAAATATGGCAATACGGCTAGAAATTCTGCCGTATATTATATATGATCCGATCCGATCAGAATGACAAAATAAACTAAGCATCCACTGGAAGGAATCCCAATATCTGCAGACGTTTTGCTACTTTATGGGTTTTTCCCATTTGCCTTTTAAAATTTATATATTATTAAAGAATCTCTATTGAGATCCAGCGGGCCGCCACTGATGCACGGTAGAGATTGCATCTTTAGATCTCCGATCTTGTTCACAAATTCAC